GTTTAAAACTTTTTTATTTAATGTAAAATTATATTTTGTTTTAATTTACTTTCAAATTCTTTAGTTGCTGAAGGGGCTGCATAGTTTTCATAAATTGCATAGTTCAGAATAGCTGTAATTGTACCAGATGGTTGCATTCAGTTAAGTTGGACTAGACTGTAATACAAACCGTTCAGTTTGTCAACAATAAAACTGACTGAAATGAGAGAAAGACTGAGTGCGAGACTTTGATATTAGATAAAATGAATATTGATCAAGTTTACCTTTATGTACAGAATCTGAATATCGCAAAATATTTTTAAAAAATTGCAATAATATCGTATCGTGCGTTAAGTATTGTGATAATATCGTATCATGAGATGTATGGTGATTCCCACCTCTAGTGAGCAGCTTTAGGTACCTGGGCGTCTACATCTCTGAGGACCTCGCCTGGACACTGAACACCACACAGCTGGTCAAGAAGGCTCAGCAGCAGCTGTATTTCCTGAGGAGGCTGAGGAAATTAGGTATGTCGGCCAAGATCCTCAGCAGGTTCTACAGCTGCACTGTGGAGAGCACACTGACCAGCTGTATCACTGCATGGTACGGCAGCACTACTGCTATGGAGCGCAAACACCTGCACAGAGTGATAACTGTGGAGAAGATCATCAGGACCCCGCTGCCCTCTCTGCAGAGCAGCTACCATCGCAGAGTCCAGAGGAGAGCTGCCTCCATCCTCAAAGACCCCACACCCCCCCAACACTTCTGCCCTGGAGACGAAGGTTTAGAAGTTGGAAATCCAGAACATCCAGACTGCCATCAGACTCTTGAACAGCTGACCCATTTTGAACAGTAATAATTATTTTTTGCACGTCTGCTCATATTGAGCTGTAGCTCTTTTGCACACGTCTGTTTCAAATCTCTATATTTTGTCTCCTTTTCTGCCTTCATCTATTTATTTGTACTACTTGTATTTATATGTTTTATTTCTATTGTATATATTAATCAGCATCTGTGGGTGGACAGCAAAGAAAGAATTTCATTGCACAAAGAAAAACCTTTTCTCTCGTGACACATGGCAATAAACACTGAATGCCAGGGGCAGAAGGATATCCAGGACCCCTAAAGAGAGCAGGCATTTATTTTAAATTAATTTAATTTGATCACTCAAAGCACTTTACACAACTTGCCTCATTCACAGCAGCATTTTTTGCTTCGTATTTTCTGTCTAAATGCTGAATTTAATTGAATCTGCCACACACACACATTCAGCAGAGAGCAACTTGGAGTTAGTATCTTGCCCAAGGATATTTCTCCATCTGTGGTTAGTGCAGGTGACAGTTTACTGGGCCCTTCCCCAGATCTCTGCTTCGATCCTGTCCTGGAGGCTACAGACGGCTCTTCAGCTCACGGCTTGCTTCGTGCTCTCACACTCTCGGTGGAGACTTCTACTGTAATGTCCTGAGGCATCTGAGAAAGAACTTTCAGTGACCTGAACTGAATGTGTACAAATGTAAACTTTGCACACACGAGTCAAAAACAAGAATTTATAATTGACAATGAAGCTTTGCTAAGCTTTCATGGGTGCAGCCCATAAACTCAGCTCTGCTCCTTGAATTTCCCCTAAAACGTGGGATCGTTGAAGGGGACAGAAACAGACGTCCCAGCGGCGTAAGATTCAGCACAAACAAAGAAATACTCAAACACAAACTTCCACTGACCACATTAAAACAGGATCTATCAACTATTTAATTTCTAAACCAAATAGTTGAATGATGTCATACTGTAAATGCACTGAGACTGCTACACTGTGATAGTACGTACTAAATATTAACCTGCTTACTTGCTTCAGTTTCAGTGAGTCTTGTAAAGCCGTTACTTATTCCTTCCTCTCGTCTCTTACACGCTACACTTGCTTTACTGTGATTCTTGTTTCTCTTCAGCCACACTTGCTGTTTTCTTTCTAGCTCAGTCTCTCCATGTAAGCTCCAACCATCCGCTGACACAGTAGAGCCTGTGACTGCAAAGTATTTCTTCTTCCTTCTCTGTCACTCCCCTACAGACGAGGCCTGCTGCTGCTGTGTCTCAGGCTCTGATGAAGCTAATAAAACCAAAATGTTTCTGATTTACCAACACAGCTCTTACACTGCAAGCAATCCGCTCTCGTTTGCTCTTAAAGGCACAACATGGGCTGTTTTTGTTTCATCACTGCTGTTTTTCATTCTTTAGCCCATCATTTCCTCACATCTGGACTTTCTGACACATCTCCACCTTTAAGGGCACGCTGTTTAATCCTCTGTTCATTTTCTGTGTTCCTTCCTTTCTTCAGTCATTATTTTACATGAATTTATTTAGAGTGAAATATGTGTGATTCGCTCTGTTACGGATGTAGAGTTACCACGACTCCCCTTTAAATCTGTGTCCACGTCCACTATGTTCTATTAACACCAAATTATCACTCAGGCTATGAATTACAGCCGAGGACCCAATGTTTGGCCTCCTAATAAAATATTTGCGCAAAATTACAGAATTATTTCAGAAGAAAAGAAAATGAGCAGGGCCGATATTATTGGCTCCCCTGAAACAACAACATAATACGAACCACTGCTGCGAGCTGATGTGTTTGTAACGTTCAAAGCCTGTAAAATGAAAACCGAGATTTATCTTCAATTTACAAACAGAATAAAAACTTCAGCAAGTTCAGAAATATAGAAGAAGCCTGGCAGTAGGAAGTGAAAGAGTTCAAAGACTCTGGAAAGAAAACTTGTGAGACGTGTCTTTAAAGACTAATGACTAAAGTCAGACCAAGAAATACCCAGACTGAAGTATGCTGAGGACAGCCTGGAGAAACATCACGAATACTGGAAGCATGTCTTTTGGTCAGACGAGATAAAACGAGAGCGCTTTGGTCGCAGAGATGCTGCTTATGTTTGGAGAAAGAAAGACAGTGAAACACGGTGGTGGGAGTATTATGCTGTGGGGATGCTTCAGTGTGTCTGGAAGTTGGAATCTCATCATGGAGGAAAGAATCATACAGAAAGATGAGATGTGAAGACTTTGAAAGAAAACTGGGTCTTCCACCACGACAATGACCCAAAACATACTGTTCTGTCCTCGTGAACGTAGACTCAGCTATACAGACAGCTAAACACTCTCCTAATCAAAATCCAAGGACAGGCCGATGTGTTGAGTTGGATGATTTAATAAGGAAAAAGTGTGAAACTGTCGACAAAACCAGAAATAAACCAATAAAAATGTTGCACCAATATGAAATATACCAAACACATATTCAAAGATATAAGAACACTATATTTATCTGCTTAGTGAGTGCCCGAATAAAACATCAAATGAAATCAGCTCATGATCGAAATGTTAAAGAAACCACATGGCATATGAGCTAGCTTAACCTTACTAGCTTAGGTTATACATGCATTCAAATTAAATTCCAACTACAAACTATATCACGCCTTCACAACAAATAATGATGCACACTAGTCGTCTCAGTGATAACAAACAATATCACTTACAGATGAAGGCGTGGATGGCAACAGGTTAACAGAGGTGAAACTGCCTCTGGCTAGATCTTGCAGAGTAAAAAATACACAAAACAACCACTAGAGGGCAACCTGCTGCAGAACAGAAAATACCTAATGCCAGCAACCATACGCTGTGCCTGGTAGGCAACTGCATGCAGAAGACCAAAGTGAACATTATTGACTGGCAGGCACAAAGCTCTGACTTGAATCCCAAACAAAGGTTGGGCTTACTAGCAGAAAAGGATACACGTTGACTGTTAGCTTATAATTTTGACCCTGGTAGTGCAAAGTGAAATAATGTAAACATCCAAAGAGTTTGACATTTGAGGAAGTTGTGTTAAAAATTCATGCTCTGTTGAACCATCTGCTCATACCGTGTAGCGGCTAAATCCACATCAGAGCCACACAGAGTCATTTTAAGTGACTCACTCACACTGAAGCTCCACAGTGATGTATGCATGTGTGGTTTTCACGACGTTATTCTGTACCTTGTCCAGATACGTGTAACTCCACATCTTTCCATCAGCGAAGACTCTGGAAATGATTCGTCCCTGACTGTCGTATTCCCATCTCTCTGTGGTCGGACCCCTCTGGAGACCTGTCACCTGACCCGAACTGGACAGACACAAAGTCAGATCACCAACATTTCAAACATTGCCTTTGAGGTTTTTGAGAGCTTGAGCCAAACCAAAATCTAGTGATAAGCTTTTAAGTAGTTGCATTTTGGTTCCTGTTTCTTTGATCTGCTTCTTATTTCTTTGTGTTTACTTTTTCAATCTCAACTCAATTCAGTTTCTATTTTATTTACATGGCACCAAATCACAACAACAGTTGCCTCAGGGCGCCTTATACTGTAAGACTTAGCAATAATAGAGAGAAAACCTAACGATCAAACAACCCTCTGTGAGCAACCACTTGGTGACAGTGGGAAGGAAAAACTCCCTTTTGACAGGAAGAAACCTGTGACAGAACCAGGCTCAGGGAGGGCGGGCCATCTGCTGTGATTGGTTGGGGGTAATGGGATGATCCTTCTGCATCCTTTCCCTGTATCTCCTGTATTTTCCTGTCTTTTGGTACTTTTAGTTATATCCTGTTTTATTTTGGTAACTGCTTTGACATTTTACCACCTGTGTCTGTTCTTTTCCCTCCTCTGCTTCTCAAATTGTTTCCACCTTTGAGTTCTTTCACTTCAGCTCCACTGACTGTATGTATATCGTTATGTCTTTGTTCACATCGTCTGTGCTCCCATTAGGGCTGTGCGATATGACCACAATCTCATATCCCGATATAAGACATCTATCGTCCGATAACGATATAAATCACAAACATTTAACATTCTCTGTAAACTCTGTGAATCTCGGGCAGCTCGACTTGCGTGAAGTGTTTCCAGCTGGGCGTCCTGTAGCTGGAGTCGAGTGTTTTAACGATGCATGAAACGATACATTTTTAGTCATAAGTTGTAACGGCGCCGTTTTCTTTGTGAGTATTTATTACACGGCGTGCTGCGGGGAAAAGCCTGTTCTAACGTTTGAGTCTAAGGTTTATTTTTTAGCACCTGGCGGCTCTTTTTAATTCTCATTCGTAAATAATCTGCTTTTTCACGTGATTCAGTTTATTTTGAAAAGTCTCAACAGGATCTTGAGCTTTATTGTGAAAGGTTTATGTGGAACATAAACCAGCGGACACGCGATGCTGTTACCGTCGTTGTTGCTAACGACAACGCATAAAACAGGCGCTTGTCCGTCCGTAGTGTGGTTATATTAAATATAAGAGAAAGAGAGAACTTTAAGAAATTAATAATAACTACAGGGACATCAGAACCATGAACAAATATTGCTGTAAACAGTTTATTTTGCGACACCACGAAACAAACGACAGCGTAAAATGAAACGACAGACGTTTTTATATCGTCATCCGATATATATCGTTATATCGAACAGCCCTAGGCTTTTCCCCGCAGCACGCCGTGTAATAAATACAAAGAAAACGGCGCTGTTACAACTTATGACTAAAAATGTATCGTTATATCGAACAGCCCAAGCTCGCATGTATCTTTTGGTTTTATTATTCACATCATCCTAGTTTCTTGGAATAAATCAAGTTCCAATGCCGCTTCTCATGTTTTTCACTCTTCCTGAAAACTGTAGTTGTTCCCACACGAGGTGATCCATATTACCACAGCCTGGTCTTTCACTATGCATTTAGTGTGATCGCTAACTGTGCCCAATCACAGATCTGCACGAAGTGTTCAGTGAGAGCAGCCTCTTTGAAGAACACTGTATTAAGCAATTAAATCTATAACTGTGTAAGAAGATGCGACGCTTCCACAAATGTTTCCATCTAACTCACAGAGTTGGTTACAATAATGAGCACAGTTGTGCACAGCAAGAGTAGTTTTACACTGTGTGTGTCAGAGACAGCTGAGATGCTGAGACTAATGCAGGCTAGAGCTCGAGCACGAAACAGCCATTAGTACTTTCCACCATATTCACACACTGTTTTACATTTTTAGGCATATTTAGGCATCAGCATATGAGAGAATACATGCAGCCACTGTGAGAACATGCAAACAACAGGAATCTGCAAAGATCTGAAACCAGAATCTTTGTGTACTACAGTGTTTTGCACCATCGAGCAGAATGAGACAAAAGGAATCACCTGGAGTACGTCAGGTTAACCGACAGCAGCTTGCTGCTGGGAACCCAGAGTGTTGGATGGCCTTGGGTATCATAGATGATCTTCAGCAGGAACTTCCTGTGGTCATCATAGATTTTCTCAGTTCGCAGTGTACGATCATAATCCACAGACAGCAAATTCCTCCCATTCACCTGAAGAGGCGGAGACACATTCATAAAACATGCATTAAGATACACAAAATATCAAAAGTTACACAAAATGCACAAACTGACAGTGAATATGAAGCCAGTGTGCTGAATTCTTCATAAATGCAAAGTATTTTGGAAAGTCTTGATGCGTTCTCAATCATCCAGGTAAGAACATCTCCAAAAGTTGATTCTGTTATCTGGATGTTTTCAGTGGGAGAAACGTTTCGTCTTCTCCAGTCTCAGCTGACTGAAACTCCCACACAACGCTACGTCCAGATGAATATTTTGGAAAGTGTAGATTTCCTAAAATGTTTCCAGACAAATCACTGTGCACGTACTATTCACTCACCCATCCAAATAATGGAATCCAGATGTCCCACAGATGTATAAAATCAAGCACATAGGCGTGCACACTGCTTCTGAATGAATGGGGAACTCTAAAGGAGTTCAGTGAACTGTACTGTGATAGGAGAACACCAGTGCAACAGGTTCAGGCATGAGTGGAAGAATCGGACTGGCCTGCACAGAGTCCTGACCTCTTTTGGGTGAATTAGAGCAGACTAAACTAAGTCTTCTTGTCTGTTCAGTGTCTGATACCCAGTGTGTTAACCCAGACGATAATAGTGCAATATAGTGTGTATGCTTTGTTGTTAGGGAGTACCACACATATTGTAAACGTCTCAGAAATAAGAGACAGGCTGGACTGTCTCTTATTTCTGAGACGTTTCAGGATAAATACTTAGTCACCCGTCTGATCAAAGACTTAGCAATAAATATTCTAATAAGTGTTAACCTGAGATTTGAAGCATGATCCATGAAATAACAACTGAGTTACTTAAAAATCTGCGGCTGAGTCCGTGAACTAAGATCTGCACCAGGAACCAAGTCTTTATTGCTTTATTTAGAAATAAAACAAATCCAGACAAAGTTCTTCAGCGCCTCAAAGACTGGCTGCCTCACGCTGAGCCGAGCTACCCAATCACCACACAGCTAAAGAAATGCACATTAAAAAGTAAAGTAGCTGTCCTGTTCTTGTCATCTCAGTAAAGTTGCTGTTTCTTGTCTGACAGCAGGCTTTGTCGCTGTTGTACCCAGCACGCAGCTTAAACATGCAGCTTTCTAATTCACTGACATGTTGTCCTCAGTTCACAGCAGCAAGATCATTATTTAGCAGAAAGACTGGATTCAACTTTGCTCCTCTTCAAAGGACTGCGATTCCACTGTCATCATTAAGTTGGAAGACAGCTGGACTGTCATTGAGTTATTAATGACAAATTATACTTCAAATGACTCTCACATGTGCACAGACTTTATATAAAATCACCTCTGAACACTCATTAATAAAAACACATCTACTACTCATTACTGCTCGTTCATAGCAGAGCACTCCCTATTATGAGTCATGGGTCACCTGTGGTGACACTTCCATTCTTGCTTAGTGGGCCATGTTGAGAGCAGCTCAGCTGTGTGTTTCAACTTCACTGGAGCCACGTGACTGAAAGGATTGTGTCCCGTTAGGCTGGGAGAGAGTGCGTCGCGTCATTTTCAAAGCGCTGCTTCCTTTCCGAACAGCAAGAACAAAAACACGCACCTATAATATGCAGACAGTGAAACTCTGTAACCTACATGATGGATACAGTGATTGCCGTCTCACAACTCAGCACCATGTGAGCTTTGATTTCAGTCTCTGTGATAGACTTGTTTGTTCTCTCACCTTTCTTTAAGACACTTGTGCATGAGCTATCACACTACAGACCCCTTCTGTAGGCGTCTACGGCTGATGCTGGATGCTGATATATAACAACAAAATGATGGTTTGGCAAAAAACATTGGAGGATATGCACCTCGCATTCTTATACTTATTACGTTTATCTCTTTTTAACACACTGGAGTTCATTTAGACCCACACCAGGACCACTGCGGTTGCTTTGGTCCGTAGCCCAGCGCGATTGTTGTGTTCACACCTGCACAAACCAAGCGCACCAACCCGAGTTTGATTTAAATGGACAACAAACTTATCGGTCTGTGCTTATCTAAAGTTTGAGCTAAAGAGCACTCACTCTGAGTTTTCTTCCGAAGACGATGACTTTTCCTCTCGTCTGCTCCTTCCTGAACCTCCACTCCACCAGGTTTTGGCCGTTCTCTCCCGGCAGAGTCATGTTACGTCGCGCAACAGTTGGGTTAGCAGCACCTACACAGGTACGACAACATGTGAAGCCCTGATGGTTTAGTGTACAAGAATCTCAATTTCTTGTACATTTAAAACAACATATAGACGACATCTTTTTGAGGGGAGGCCTTGCAGCTAGATAATGTCGTTATAGTAGAAGAGTTCAGTCCAGACCTTTAACAACGGGCACATGAAATAAAACGCACAACAAAGACGCAGGACAAGTGAAACGCTCAGTTTCCACATGTTCATGGACTAATGTCAAAAGAAGACGGGATGCTACGCCGCGGTAAACGTGGCCCTGTCCAATCGTTGTGGAGGCTTTTGTTTGTTTGTTTGTTTATAAAATAATTGTTTTTCCTCACTGGTTTTCTATGTCCTGTAGACACAAAAATATGGTTGCATTTGGTTTCATTTTACACAGGATCATTTTTCTAGAACTGGGTTCTAGAAGATAACAAAATAACTAAAATAACAATAAATTATTTCATATTCTGAGACTAAAATGTAACAATACTGAAATAACTTGAGATGTTTACATGAGACTGATCACCTCCCAGTGTTTCCTTTTATTTCCAAAATGTTACAGCGTGTTTTGTCAAGCTTACACATATTTAGGGAATCATTACAAAACAATTCTCCTTCAGTTTTTGTCTGAAACTCCTGGTTGGATTAAAACATACTCTCAGTGCAAATCAAACCCCAACACGTGACACAAACACTGCACCCGTCCAGCAGTTTAATATTTACTGATTCGTTTTTATTGTTGGAAATGTTTCGTTTCAGTCTCTTTAAATATTATTGCATGCAGAGCATACATAAGTGGCAAGAGTTATGAAAACCATCACAGGAACTTACAGTCTTGTTAACACGTCAAAGCCTCAGCAGGCTGACAGTGAAGTGCTGATAACATTTCTAAAACTTCCTTTATATTTAATAGAATTTAGTTAAGTTTTCCAAGTTTACAAAATTGTTTCAATCGTTTAAAATGTTTTTTACGTCACGTTTGAGTTTTGTTTAACTCTAATAATTCTGACAGATCTTTCTGCAGGTGTTTAGCTGCAGAAAGATCAGAATCAACAGGACAGAGACGCAGGGAGCAGAAATCTCAGCATGTGTAGATGGTCCCAAACCAGTGCTTTCCACACACTACATATACATATAAGTGAAAATAAAGACAGCTTAGATCCTCTCGTAGATTATAAAGTGAAGGCACTATGTTTAAAACACACCTGCCAGAATATGAGGCTCTGTCTGGTAGTGCGTGTCCATCCCGTTCGCATAGATCACCCTCAGTGAGTGGTCGTTCCCCACCTGGTAGCTGTTACGAAGCTGGTCTGTTTAAAAGGAAATCACATTTCTTTATTGGATACTTTCCAAGGCATTAACTCATATAGGCAGTATTCTTAGCTGACCTGAGGGTGAAGGAGAAAGAGACAAAAACAAAGACAGCGAAGCATAAAGGCCAAGACAAAGAGGGAGACAAAGTAAGGGGAGAAACCCGAGAGGGCAGCGTTTGAGCCTGCTAATGGAGCAAAGAGCATGTATTAACATCTCCCAGCCTCTTTTAATTACATCCTCCTTGACCTTTCACAGGACTAAAGGCCGTTATGTGTGCATACAAGAGAGAGAGGAAGAACACACTGTCCTCACAGACCATCTCTGAAACAGCCAAGACCCTGGGTCACCAACTCATTCTCCATTCCCACTAAGTACTCTTAATCCAGTCTCCTGTCTCATGTTGTTTACCATGTCGGCCGTGCAGCCCCATCTAACGTGTTTTCATTTCTCTAGCTCACAGGCTAGAAAATGAATGAAGTGATGGAGTGAAATGCTACACTGTCAATTGCTCTGAATAACTCATGTTGCGATCAATACTTGTGCGTGGCCATGCACAGCTCACTCTGAAGTAAATCATTGCCAGCCTCACTTCAAATGGCTCATTAGTTCAGATTGAACAACACCAAATTACTTTTCCCCCCCTCAGCGTTTAGGGTAGAAAGTTTGACACGAAGGACGACTTTTGCAGTTCCTAAATCTAGGATTATTAGGGCAGATGGGATTACAGATCCATCCGCAGCTTGTACACTTCCTCATGTCAGATCTTTTCTTAAACTAAACTTTACACAACTAACACAAGCTGCTGATATAACTGCACACATCCCAAACAGAACAAATGTGATGACGAGCACCGCTTTGACAGGATGTCAGATGGGGGTATGTACATTTGCATTTTAAAAATCATTGTATTAACATGTCCATCCATCCATCCATCCACTTCCGCTTGTCCTTTTCAGGGTCGCGGGGGGCGCTGGAGCCTATCCCAGCTGTCATAGGGCGAGAGGCGGGGTACACCCTGGACAGGTCGCCAGTCTGTCGCAGGGCCAACACACAGGGACAGACAACCAACACTCACATTCATTCGCACATTCACACCTAGTGACAATTTGGATTATCCAATTAACCTATCCCCACAAGCTGCATGTCTTTGGACGGTGGGAGGAAGCCGGAGTACCCGGAGAGAACCCACGCAAACACGGGGAGAACATGCAAACTCCACACAGAAAGACCCCAGCCTGATGGTGGAATTGAACTCAGGACCTTCTTGCTGTGCGGCAACAGTGCTAACCACCGTGCCACCGTGCTGCCCTTGTATTAACATGTATTAACATGTTTAGGTGTGAAATTGACGCAACCACATGGACACTACGCTGTATTGTGTGCATGTGGTTGTGGCCAAGGATCCAGGCTAGTCGCTGATTCCTGATACTGATCGATCAGGGAAAGTGTGGAAACTGCACAATGTGTGAAGTGATGAGAAATCGAACTGTTAGCAACTAATTGAATTTACTATGAACCATGCACTGATTGAATAATAAATAAAGACCATATTCTTACTTCAGCTCGGACTAAAGCTTTTAGTATGCTTCACACACACGAGGCCACCTGTAAAATAGGAAACTTTCTTCTTACCTTGCACCAGAGTGTAGAAGGAGTCTATTGATGATAGGTTGGTTGTTATGGCAACATCCTCATCCCTCCCTGACGTCTCAATGTCCACAGCAACAGCCCCTGACGACATGTCGCCATGGAGACTGGTTACCACCCCAGTGGGGAAGGTCACATTAGTCAAACGACCCTCACTGTCATAGCTACAAGGATGGTGAGGATACAGTAAGAAACAGACATTAGGATCCACGGATAAAAACTCAGACTCACTCACTGACAACCCAGCAAAAAGCAGAGAAATTTAAAGGTTACATCAAGATATAAAGTCAAGACGTAACAATCAGAGTTTGAATTGATTTCATTCATTAAATTAATCTGTCCATTGACCAGAATTCAACTAGAAATCCAAAAAGTGGCTCACTCATAGAAGGTAGTCCAGCCAATTTGGATACTCTTGGTAGCCAACAAGCCACTGTTCCCATGGTAAGTAAACAAGACCAGTTCCTGGCCCTGAGCTGTGAGGGTCTTCAGACCTCCATTAGTCCCAATGGTCAGCCAAATGACCTAAACACACACACAGAATCACAGGTGATCAAGGATACACGCTCGTAATCTGCTAACAAGGCTCCTCAGTACCCACCTGATTGTCGGGAGCAACCACACGTACAGGCATCCTGTTAGTGTCTCTGCGCACGCGGAGCGTGTTTCCACTGCTGTCCGTCACCGCAGTCACATCCTCCTCATTGCTGAGTGTGTGGAGAAATGAGTTACTCATGTAAGGTGCCACAAAAGAGGACAAAAACAGTAAACAACACTGTTGTGTCGAACAATTTTGCAAGGTAATGCAAATGTATTATGGTGCCGTGTGTGGTCTGGGCGGAGCTGCAGGGGAGCCAATGCCGGGATCACCAGGGGGTATCTGGCTCTCCAGCCGGTTCAAGGTGGTCCAAAGGCAGGGGCACAGATGGCCAAGGAAACTTTCCTGTCCCCGGCCTGGGTTCCAAGATTTCCGAGCAGGTACTAAAATGTGATGTCGTCACACTGCATGCAACTGATTGGTTGGTCAGCAATGAGCAATGAGAGCGTCTCATTTACAAAAGTCCAAACAGCCATTTTTGAAACTTGGCTACAAAAAACAACGCCGTGTTCCCCCAAGTGAGAACAACCCACAAGACAACTCGAGCGGAGTCATGGTTATTAGTGGCGAGTCGATCCAAGTAGGTGCTAATGGAAAAGCGGCTTCAGTAACCAAGCAGTGCTGCAATGACAGTCACAAAAATGTGTTTCCTGACAAACACCAACCTGTAACTGAAGTTGTATTTGTAGTCTCCAGTGACCAGAGACATGGTGAACTGGTGAGTCCCGTTTGCATCAAACACGTAGAGCTCTTGAGAGGCTGGACAGGCCACTTCATAGGAACTGGGACCTGAAGCCAGAGAGCCTGAATACACAGACCAGCAGACAGACAGACCAGTGACTTTGTTTTCTTTATCTTCTTAGATTATGTTCCTATGTTACTTTTGTTATCTATTATTGTTTAATATTTTTGTTTCTAAACTCACACAATATTGCACAGTCTATGTCATTTGCCATTACATGAATACCTGCATAACTGAATAACTTACGCAGGTATTCTCTCTTTGCAAATCTATTTGATTATTCTGCTGATCACCGTCACTACACATCCGTGAGACAGCTGTCTGCCTATTAACATACATGACATACAAGCCCTCTATTGCACGTCTACTGTGTATGTGCATACACTTTATATACACACCCGTAGGTGGTTGGTTGCGTCGTACGGCTCGAATGCGGATGTTTCCCAGATCAGCCACATACAGCGTCCCATCCGGAGACACAACCAGAGAGGAAGGACAATTAAGCCTGGCATCTTTGGAATAGCCATCTCCGGTTTGATAGCAGTCGCAGTTTGCATCATTCTACAGGACAGCCAAACAAGAGACAACGAACAACATCAACACAAGAAATTCTCGTCTCATATATGTGTGTCTCAGGTTCCCAGTCATCCACATTACTGTAGTCTAAGGAGCTCGGAAAGCAAGCCACTGGAGTTTTATGAAGACGTTTCACATCCCATCCGAGAGGCTTCTTCAGTTCTACAAATCAAACGATGGAGCGTCCCAGGTATTTAAACCCTAGTCGGGGATATCTCTTGGTCATTGAGCCTCTCATTGACCAACCATAATCATGTGCCTCATCACATTAGCCAAGGTGTGATAAAAAAAAGGTGTGGGTCATAATCACCAGGTCTTTGGGTGAGAACACTGTGAGATCTTGCTTCACCCTATCATGTGACCTCTTTGGGTCACCTGCTGTAAGATGTGCAGAGGTTGAGGAATCTCAAAACTGCGTTGTAGGTGGAAGTTGCTGTCGTAAGCCACCCCTCTGTTCAAGAACGGGCTTTCAACGTGAACATAAATGGCACTCCTTTTAAAACCATCTGTTCTCTCAGTCCAAAATGTGAACTGTGGTATCATCAAATGAGTCCTTTAGCAGATGGTGTGCAGCTGTGTCTTGTCCTGCCGCGCTTGCTCTTCTATGTTGTGCAGTTCTATGGAGCAGCTGCTTGGTTTCTCCGGTGTAAAGGTCCAAGCACTCCTTGCTGCACTGCACAGCGTACACTATGTTGCTTAGTTTGAGTTTGGAAGTTTTGTCCTTGGGATAAACCAGTTTCTTCTCTAATGGCATGGTTGGGTGACTGGAATGATAATGTTCTAGTTCCCTCTTTCCTGTGCATCTTTGCTGATTCAATGAGGGCTCATTTGGGATAACCACTTGTTTTAGGAGCTTTCTTTAGATGTGTTTGTTCCTTCCCCTTCTGGCTTACAGGAAACAGTTTCTTCTCATTGCAGTGTCCTGACAACTCTGTGTTCGAGAGGGTGTTGGGAGTCAAAGAGTAGGTACTGGTCTGTGTGGGCTTCCAGTAAACTTCAGTGCTGAGCTCCTCCATGTGCAGAGCATAGTCCAGAAATAGCAAGCTATTCTTCTTTCACTAGTTGGGACCACATCCTCATGTAGGTTTGACAGCATAATAGATATGATCTAGTAGATAATGGCAGATGGCTTGAGCATGAATTGTCTCCAGAGGGGACTGGCAGCATCTCAGGTCACTGGCAGGTCACCAAAGAAGGCATACCTTTTTTGAGAAGGCTTGTGAAGAGAGGGGGCCTGTAAACCTTGATTAGGTGGTCACAGATTAGATTGCGTGAACTGGATATGCTGGCAAAATTGATTGGCGAGAACTTAACGTAAGCATGATCAGCAAGGTGGAGTAGAAGCAAATCACGCTAGCACCCTGGCACCAGCAATGGTTGGTGCTGCATTTGGCAGACTGATGCTACAAAGGTTAGCTGAGAGGAGGCATCGTGAAGTGCCATGAAGGTTTGTGCCTGCGTTTTGCAGGGAAGAGATAGTGGAGAAAAAAACTGGCATCTCAGTGCAAGAAAAAGCAAATAAAAATCTATGTTTTTGACTTTTTAAAAAACCCATTATATGTAAAATATGTGGTGGAAATTAAACAAAAGGGGAAAAAGCATAGAGCTGTGGTGAGGTCCTAGAAGAGCACCCTTTAATTCAAGGGAGGGAAAGGCCTGGGTTCAATAAACAGCAATGGGCTGTGCTCGTCACCAGATGTGTCCTGGTGTGCATCCTGCCTGGAATGTCAACTGGTAAATCACTCGGCCATCCAATGGGTGGCTTTGCATCCATTACCATTAATGGAGGTCCCGTTCAAGTGTAGTGGTATGGACTTCATCGGGACAAGATCCCCGGAGTGCCAGGGGACATTGCTTTGTAAAAGTTCTCGTGGATGATGTGATATCCCGAAGCAGAGCTGCTGGCACCGGTGCAGTTTCAGGTGATCTCCTGAGTCGGAATCCCAAAAGAGGTACTGACGACCACAGGGTCTCATTCATGTCTCACACACAAAAGAGCTGTACCACCCCCAGAGCGATGGGCTGGTGGAGTGCCTTAAAGTCCATTACTGCCATGTTTATTCATGAGGATTAATGCAGTAGGGCTTTCTTTTGTTTGCAGTGGAGGAGCTGCCCCCGACCTCCATGGAATTTTCTCCCTTTGAACTGCTGTTTGGCAGGAAGCCACAGGGGGATTTGGACGTAATTACAGAAAACTGGGAGGAATTTCCAAGCCTGAATAAGAATGAGATTTAATATGTTGTGGACCTTGTGAACCACACACACTGGGTCGTTTATTATGGGAAAATTTGTGTTTTCACACAAAACCTCTGGTGATAATTTCCCATGCCATTATTCACACCCTGACTTATGTGATGACAACTACGGTTTAAATACCTATGACTCTTCATTATTTGATTTGTAGAAATGAAGACGCCTCTCTGATGAGAGGTGAAACATCTTCAGGAAACTTAAAGGAGTCCAGTCACTTCTCTTCCTCACATCCTGTTGCATTCACACGTCACTATTTGGATGCGACACATTCATTCTGAATTCGAGTACTTCAGTGAGCTGAGCAGAATGACCGATAAGGACTGAAAACAACAGTGAAGTAGCTGTGATGGGTACCTTGCAGTCACAGTCAGATAGCGCTCCAGCTAGATGGGTAATTTCTCCATCAGTCGACACCTGGAGTTTTGGTAGAGAAGGAAATGATTCTTAAAGTTTAGCACAGTGGCACTTTCTGTTACAGCTTGGTAATAAAGTAGTAATAGAAGGGCAACGAGGCAGAAACAAGAACGTAATAATGTGGTAATTTAGTGGTTATTACTACTAAACCAGTTAATATCATGGTAACAACAGTGGATACGGTAAAGTAATATTACACAGAGCTTTATGCAGTTGGATAATAAGGGACCAAAACCTGGAGATAATAATGTAGAAATAAAGACATCCCCACGAGGAAAAAAACATTAGTAATAGTGTCGTAATACCTTAGTAACAATATGATAACCTGCTAGAAATAAGAGGGTGATATCTGTGAATTTGAATTCTCACGTTGTTATACAGAGTTAAATTAAATAAGGTAACATTGGCTGCTCTTTTAGCATATTTGGATAGTATTACTTTATTAAAAAGCTTGAATTTATCCCACCTTAGATTTCCAGGATTCTGCTTAAAATTCATGATTACAAGGAAATTCTGTCCAGCAGACTACCTGTCGAATACGGTGGATTTTCTTCTCATCCGTCTCTGCGATGTAGAGAACGCCACTGTAGGATAAGGCGATGGCTGTAGCACCCTCTAGCATGGTCTGAACCGCCCTCTTTCCCATGGTGTACTCTATACCAGGCACCTGGCAGTGCATGGGACGACCTGCCACAATACGAACCTGAACACACACATTTGCACATGAATGTTAGTTAAGAATCATTAAGTAGCACTGTGCATTTGTTGTTGTGGCACAGGAAGGCTGTGAAATACAAATGTCATTAAATACTTAGATATTAAATATATATATTAAGTCAACTCCTAGGGAAAAAGTATGGGACCAGTGCGCCCCTCCTGGGATAGTTTTACCATGGGCCCACCTTGGAGTAGGGCCTAGGGAGGGGGAACACACAGGAGAGGATCTGGTGGTCAGGCTTCAGCCCATGGGGCTCGGCGCAGCCTAAAGAGAAGACTGTAGGGACATAGGGCTCGGGTGCAATGTGTGTGAGGAGGCAGTCAGGGATGGAAGCCCTGGCAGTCTGATCCCTGGCTACAGAGGTTAGCTATTAGGACAGGGAACATCAACTCTCTGGAGGAAAGCAGCGAGTAGGTGAGATTGAGCATTGCTGGCTACATATAGCCAGGTTCACCTGAATGCACGGCTTAGGCTCTGGAACCAGTTTCCTGGAGGTGGGCTCAACTCTGTTCTAGTCTAGAGTTGTCAGGTTACCACCAGTATGTTGGGGGTTTTGCCAGTGGAGGTGAGGGTTGCTTCCCTGCGCCTTCAGGTGGGGGAACAGGTCCTGACATCTGCCCTTATGCACCAAAACCAGTTCAAAGCACCCAGCCTTTTAGGAGTCACTGAGTGGGCCGCTCAAGGGTGCTCCATCTAGTGACTCCAAATTCCTAATGGGAGATTTCAATTCAAAGAAAGTGAGACCTGGAAAGAGGAAGTGAGCATGAACGGCCTGATCTGAACCTGCGTGGTTTCCTGTTATTGGACAACAGTCACCATTTTTGAATATGAGGATGTCCATCAGTGCACAAAACACTAGGTTGCAGGATGATGATGAGTTTTGTAATGATATCATCAGGTATGCGGTCCTGGACACATTCAGTACTTTCATGCAAATTAATTGTGTTGTCAGATGTTTGTGCATGTTGGAGGTATTTCCACCCTTTGCTGTGATCAATGTTGAGGTTGTTAATCAAAAAAGTAACTATTACACAAGTAATCATTACACGTGTAATAATTGTTATTATTACACGCCCATTGTTACAGGCCATTTGGTCCCCGTACAAACACACTTGTCATTAATAAGTTGGACTTGTTTCCAGTGAGTGTTGGACTCCACTCCCTTTGTCACTGGTTCTGTTTTATAGCTTACATGGATAAAATGTCTGTCAAGCAGGCAGAAGGCTTCTACTTTGGTTACGTCAGAATGGGTGGGTGTCCTCTCTGACATAGGCTCAGGGTGTCAGTCATTCCAGAGGGTTTCGATTGGAGCCAATACTCCTCCATATCTAAAGGAGCCAGTTTGGGGATCTGATAAGGATGCTTCCTGGGCACCTCCTGGGTGGCATGTCCCATGAGGAGGAGGCCCACAGGGTAGACCCAGGACACCAGAGAGAGATTATATCTCTCAGCCTGGGAATGCCTCAGTGTACCTCCTGATATGCTGGAGGTGGCTGGGGAGAGGGAGGTGGGCCTCTGCTGCCCCTGCAACCTGGTCCTGGATAAGTGGAAGAAAATGGATGGATGGATAAAATATACATTCAGCAAAGGGATACATGATACCTGTCTATTTTCAGTGATCTGCAGCACAACATTGTTGTCCAGCACATAGATAGAGTTATCCATGGGATTGATGGCTAGATCTGTGGGCCACTCTAACCGCACCTGGAAGGAAAGAGGACAGAGAAGAAAGGTGACACTTCACTTCCTGTTCATTGTTACACACACACACACACACACACACACACACACAC